CCCTACAGCTCTGTGCACCTCGGCGGTCATACGGGCAATGAGGGCGGGCGCGATGGCCCCGCACAGCACGTTCCTCCGCAGGTTGGGGTTCTTGGGGTCCTTCAGGTTGCTGATCCTGCTCCGCACCCGGTTGCGATACTTCATGTCCGTGCTCTTCAACTCCTGGAAGATATGTGGGGCCAGTCAAGGGAAGCAAATTTCTGAAGGAGGAATGGCCTCTGGGGTTGATTGTGGCCGAGGGGGAGACCCCAAAGCATGAAGTTGGGGATGATCAGGAGGTGGCCCTGTCCCAGTAGAATGGAACAGCCCAGTGCTGCACTGGACCAGAACCCGGCACCCAACAGCAGTAAGGATGCCTTGGGCTTGGGAAGGGGCGCTTATTTCATTCCCTAAGGAGAAAGACAGGTCCCCAAGCAGAGGGATTTGGGACAAGCAGCACCAGGGTGGGATCATATGGGATGGAGCAGGCTGGGGATGCTCAGCATCAGCCTTTAGTATGGGCTCCGGGCTCCCTCTGCAGGCAGCGGGGCCAGGCAGGCCTTGGCAGCACTCCTCACACCCTGTTCTCGTCCCTGTCTCCATTCCTGTCCCTGTTTCTACCACATTGTCCCTGTCCCCCACCCCAGGACCCCGCAGCAGCAGCAGCCTGGGAACCACAAAGGATATGGTCTTCTATCTCGGATGCCATCTTCTCACAGTTGACACCAAACTCCTTGTAGTCATCTGCAGGGAGAGGAGGGGGGTGACGATGGGGTTGGAAGCAGAAGGGCCTCATCCTGCACCCACAGAGCTCCAACAAAGCAGCCAATGGGGAACCTCCAGTGGAAACTCAATGGGAAACTCAATGGGGCACCCAATGGGGCACATAATGGGAAATGCAATGAGGCACCCAATGGGGCACCCAACGGGGCACCCAGGGAGGCACCCAATGGGACACAAAATGGGACACACAATAGGGCACCCAACAGGTACCCAATGGGACACACAGTGGGAAAGTCAATGGAAACTCAATGGAAACTTATCAGGGGCTCTGCCCAAAACTTTGTCCTTCCAAAAACTTAACCCCTTCCAATGACCACATCCAGATCCCTCACCAAGATCCCCCCAGCATGTCCTTTTCCTCCCCTTTGGGGCCAAACACCCCTCGCCCCCATCCCACTCACCATCCATGCGCAGCGCGGCCGTCAGCATCTCAATGCATTTGTCCCTCACGGAGTCCCCGGTCAGGTAACAGGGGGGCAGGAGGCAGATGCTGGGTGAGAAGGAGGGGCTGCTGGGGGTCCGTGGTGTCTCCGCTTTGCCCTTGCTGCTGTTGGCTCTGTGGAGGCATGGGGAGGATTTGGGATCCCGCACAGCTTGGGGGGCACGGCAGCCTCTGGATGGGGGGACGGATGGGTCCTACCTGTCTCCATTGCTGTCGCTGGAGCTGCGCCGGGAGCTGTTGGGAGCTGGCGAGGGGTTGGCACCCACTGAGGGTCTCCTGGGGGTGACATGGGGGGGACGGCAGCGGTAACACCAGCAACGGGGCATGCAAACCTGTCCCACGGTCAGAGCACCCCCAGCAGTGCCAGGCGTGGGGATGTTGGCACCGGCAGCCACCACCGCCACAGCGCCCATCCCTGAGCCCATCTCTGGGAGATGCAGAGCTGGGGGTGCCCCCTCCGTACCTCTCTCCTGAGGGTCTCTTCTGTGGGGAGGAAGAGGAAGATGCGGCTGAGGACCGCGAGTCGGCAGAGTCCCTCCTGGCAGGAGCAGCCCAGTGTCAGTGCACAGCAATAGGGACCGAGTGGTGGGTCTGGAGTCCCCCCCAGCCCAACCCAGGGCCCCCACCTCTCCTTCTTGCCATCCAGAGGTGATTTCTTCGAGGGTGCAGTGGGGCTCCGCCCGGCGCTGGGCTCCCTTCAAGGCAAAGCACAAAAGGAAATTGGGAGATGCTCTCAGCTCCCGGCACCCCCGTGTCACCAGGTCCTGCCCAGCCCCATCAGCAAAGTGCTCCACAGCCCCCCCGGAGTGCCCAGCAATCAGGGGGAGGTTGGTACGTACCTCTCTGGGTTGGGGTCAGAGGGGTGGCCCTTTGTGGGGGCTGCGTGGGAGCTGGACTTGCTGGGCTTCCTGCAGACAGAGAGAGTGGGGTGGCTCAGCAAGCAGCCCCAGAACAGCCCCCACTTTGGCACAAGGAAAGGGAAATCCTGGTTCTGTGGCACTGAACCCCACACCTCTCCTTGTGCTTCTCTCTGTGCTTCTCGGTCGGGTTCTTGGGGTGCTTTGCTGGCTGGGAGTTCACCCCTTCACTGGGACTGGGGACATCCAACCTCTTCTCTTTCTCCTTCTTCTCCTTCTCCCCATCTGCGTCCTTCTCCTTCTTTGGGGGGGCAGAGGACTCTGGGGACGGAGTGGGGGTCACAGGCACAGCACACACCAAACCTCACCCCAGTGTGGGATGTGGGGCTGGGGGCACCAAGACCCCACTGCAGGCATTTTGGGGGGGCTTTCTGCCCCTCTCACCCAGCAGTCTCTTCCAGTTCTTGATGAGAATCTTGGCAGAGGCCACCACCTCCTCATCCGAGCAGTGCTTCCGCACCGAGTTGACGGCCACCCCGATGCGCGTGGTCTGGGGATGGACATTCTAGGGTCACCTTCCCCAGGTGGCAGTGCTGGGATGAGCGCCACCATCCCTCCAGGATCCCCCGACCCCTCTCACCTGCAGCAGCTGGATGGTCATGGTGTAACCGGTGAGAGACTTGAGCAGGTCCAGAGCCCCTTCCTACGGCAGGGGAAGGAACACAAGACCCATAGAGGTCCTACCATCAAAGTGGAGACACCGAAGGGGTGCCTGGAGTGACTGGGACTGCATGTCCACCACCAGCGACGCTCCCATCAAACCCAAACCTGCACCCATGGGAAAGGCTGGGGATAGCAGTGCATCCCCAAGGGCCACATGGCACCAGGTTCCCAGCCTGGCCCTCGGGCACAGGGTGCCTGTGGGGTTATATATATCCCAGCATGGCTCTGCATGGAGTCATCTTCCTCCCTGCTATTTTTAGAGCTGCAGGAACAGATGGAGGGTGCAGGTAGCATGACAGAGTTGTAGTGCTCAGAGCTCCCAGCTCAGGGGACATCCTCATGCTGTCCTCCAGCTCCGTCCTGTCCCCAAAGTGGGCTAAAGCAGGAGGGCTGGGGGGCTGAAACTACAGCCTGAGGCTGGGCAGGGTCACCTGTGAGCATTGGGGTCATTTCCAGCAAGGCAAATTGCAGAGAAGGGTAATTGCAAAAGGAAGAGCAAACTGCCCACGTGGCTGCCAAGGAGTCTGAGTTGTTGCATTTTTAGCATCCCCAAAAGCACAGAGTTTGGGGGGATGGCACTTCCATGAGCCTCACAGGGCAGCCCGTGCCTTGCCAGGGCAAAGTCCGGTTGGAACAGTCAAATATTAACCTTGAGGGCTAGGCTCTCCTCCATTCCTCCCCCCCCATGGAACCGGATCACCACTGGGTCCTCCCCTGGTGCACAGGGAGCACGGCTGGGTCATGGCATCAAATCCCTTTGCATGGTTCCAAAAGGCACAGCTGCACTTGGGGTGCTGCTCCCACCCCCTGCTCAGTTCTTTGCACACTGCTGAGCTCCTGGTACCAGCCTTAACCCACTCTGGGTGCTGGTGGCTGGGCTCCAAGCACCTGTCACCCACACCGCTCCCACACCAAGGGGTGCTCAGAGCCACCAGTCCTCACCCAGGACCCCCACCCCCCCGACACCCCATCCCCATGACCTCAAGCAATGGGGTGCACCCATGGATGCCTGCTCCAGGTCCACAGGCTTGTGCTGGGCCAGCACCCTGGGGTGCTCAGCACTCCCTGCGCTGTGAGCAACAGCAGCGGAGGCAGAGCAAAGCTCCCTCCTCCTCCTCCTCCCACCCCGCCTTGGGAAAACCTGTGCTTTTCCTCCCTTCCTCATCCCAAGCCTTGCTGCACCCTCCAAACACGCTCACACAAGCCTGCAAAGATTGCACACGTGTCCCAATAGGCAAGACAAGCAAACCTTGCACCCACGTGCAAACAGGCACAAAGGTGCAAATATTGCACACCTTGTTGCAATAGGCACAAGGGCTGCACGCTTGTGCAAACCTTGCACTCGCCTGCCTTACCGTGCTCTTCCTGGCCACCATCTTATCCAATTTCTTGGCAATCCGGACCAGCTCCTCAGCAGGCCCCATGCTGGGAGCTCGCAACGTTCCAGGCTTTGATGGTTGCAGGAGCAAATTGCAGCTGGTGGCCGCGGTGCGGGTGCGAGGTGGGCGCAGCGGGCATGGGGCAGCGGCACGGAGCGGAGCAAGGAGAGGAAAAGGGGAAAAGAGAAGGAAGGAAAGCAAGGGAGGAAAGCAGAAAGGAGGTGTGGCTGTCCCGACCAGTTACAAACTCCTGCCAGGCAAGCGAAATAGCACGGGGCAGGGCTAAATATAGCCCAGAGCAAAGCGGGACAAAGATTGCCGTGCTGGGGGAGGCGATGCGATGGGGACGCTGCGCCCTTTGGGGCCGGGAGGTTCAGGGGGCTCCAGGAGGTGCTGGAGCACAGGGTTGGCGTTGGCAGGGTGCTGGGACGTGGCCTCTGTGCCGCCCGGAGCCACGCAGGCTTGATGCAACTTGCTGCAAACATTGCGCGGTGCACAGAGCCTGGACTTCAGCCCGTGGCAGCGCTGCCCTGAGGCACCGACGGCCCCAAGGAAGCACGGCTGGGGCTGAGCTGCAGGGATGGCGCAGCACCGCGCTGAGGTGCTGTTGGTGTTTCCGCAGCCCGGAGTCCATCCACCGAGCAAAGGCAGAGCAGGGAGCTGGGAGGGAAGGATGCTGCTGCAATGCAGACACACGGCCAGCCATTGGTGCTGCTTGCGCGCCCCGGCTCCCTGCTGCCACCCCTGCTGTCCCAATAGAGACCCCAGCATCAGGATGGAAGGACATCACCCAATGAGGGGGAGGGAGGAGAGGGCAGGGGGCTGCACACAGGGCACTTATTAAAAAATGATGGTTTTATTAGAAATGAGAGAGAGCGAACATGAAAAACAAACAAACAAACACAGAAAGTTTTCTTTCTTTGAGATGAAACGTCCGGGGGATGAGGATAAATCACAGGGATGGGGGAATGTTGGTCCCAGAAAGCAGCTGCAGCAGGGCCCCCATGGAGCACCCCTCATTTCCCCCCAACCTTGACATCCCCACAGCCAGGCGGTGACCAGCACCCACCTAAAGGACGGTTGGTGGGGGTTTTGGAGAGGTGTTAAGGCACTTCCAGCCCTGCTGCCCTGGAGGGCTCTCAGAGACAGGGAGTGGGGGCAGGCTGTAGCTGCAACCCCCCCCCTCCTCCCCTCAAATCCCTAAAATGATGGAGAAAAGCCTGATTTGTTTCCTACCAATTGCAACCACTTCACAGTTATGGTAGAGGTGGCACACGGCAGCTGACCCCTGTAGGATGGGGACTGGGGGCCGCATTCCATCTCCCCCCTCAGGGAAAGGAGGGTGAAGGGCAGCCCCCAGCCCCAAATCCCTGCAGCCCTGGGATGGGCCGAGCCCACAAACCTTATGCCACCAGTGCAGCAAGCCTCTCCATTCTCTGCCCGACAGCCACAGGGGGGTGGCAGCCCTCGGGCTCTCCAAAACCGCCATCCAGAGGGGTCTTCCCAACACAGGGGTCCCCAAGACCCCTGGAGGGCAGCATCCAGCACGGTGCCATGTCATGGACCCGATGCCAGGAGGAGAGGATGGCAGCAGAGAGGGGACTGAGGATGGCCACAGCCCACCCTGTGTGCCACCAACCCTGTGGGGATGGAGAAGGCGATGGGGATGCAGTCAGTCCTGCAGGAGGTGAACGAAGCTGGCGGGGAAGACACCAGTGCGGGAGCCGTCACCTTCAATGAAGCCAACCTGGGGGTGCAGAGAGGGGGGGGACGGGGGGTGGGGGTCACGTTGTGCATCACAGGGAGAGAGCCATCATCCAGGTGACCCCCTAGATGGGGCATCACCCAGCAGCATGCTCCAGAAGGAAGGGAATGCAAGGACAGCGGGGTGGGGGGGCCGTGGCACACAGTGCTCACCCAGCTCTGCTCATCCTCCTCCCGTGTCACCACAATCACCTCCCCTTTGGAGAAGGTCAGCTCCCGTGCCTTGTCCCCCTTGCAGTCCACCACTGCCTTCACCCTCTTCTGCCTCCCCTTGGCCTGCAGCAGGAACCGGGTCAGTGAGGGGGAGGGGGCAGCAGCACCCCCACCCCATATCCACATTAGATGGGACCCCCCCCCAATCCCTCCATCCACAAAAAAGAGCAGCAAGGATGCTCCCCTGCCTATTGTACCCCCTGTGATCCCCTGCCCTCCCCCACAAGTTGTGACACCTACCGGAGCGAAGCGTCGAGGCATGGGCACGGGGGGCACCTTGCTGGGTGTGGGGTCCTCGGGGCTCTGGGGGGGGGTGGCTTTGCCCACCATGCCGCTGATGCGCCGGTACGAGCGGGTGCTCTCAGAGCTGAGGGGACATTGGGGACCGCCTCAGTCCCTCCCCCCATCCCCTGTCTGCCCCCCACCACGATGGGACCCAAGGGAGTAGGGTGTCACTAAAGGTGGTGATGGAGGAGTTTTATTATAAGGGGGGGGGAGGGGGGAAGGCTGACAGCCACCAGCAGCCCCCACCCTCCCTCAAACCGTTCCCAAAAAGGAATAGAACAAAATGTGGTGACTTCCCATCTGGCCCTATTGGTGTCCCCCCTTAAGGACCTGTGTCACCTCCAGGGACAACCCCCATCCCCCCCCATCCCCCCCCATCCCCCACGCTGCTCCTGTCCCCTCCCATGTCCTCAACCCCCTGGCAGTGGAATGGTGACCTCTTTCTTCCAGCCCCCCCCTCCCCCTTCCCCCCATGCACAATTTGGGGTTCCACACCGCAATGTGGGATCTTGAACCCCATGCAACGACTGGACCCCCACCCAACATCCCCCATAAATGCACCCCTACCCAAACTTGACGGGAGTGACATCGGGGGTCACAGCACCCGGCGGGGGCTGCCCGGGGGAGGGGCCGCTCAGCTCCGTCCCCCTCCGTGTTCCTCCGCTCTCCGTCTCGGAGCGCGTCTCCCAATACGCCGCCCGTCGCGCTTCGGGGGGGCTGCGGGTGCTGGCAGCCGGGGGGGGCAGAGCTGTGCCCTCCAGAGCCCCCGCGCTGCAGGAGGATGAGGACGAGGAAGAGGAGAGGCTGCGCGGCGCGGGGGTCTCCGTCAAACCAGCAAAGTGCGGCTCTGACGTCTGCCGGGGGAGCTCGGGGCGCTCTGGGGTGGGGGACACAACGGGGACATGATGGGGACATGATGGGGACAGCGAGGCTGGCGGCACGGCACCCACGGGTTCCCTCCCCCGGTTCAGACTCACCCGTGGGGCTGTGCTTAGAGCGGGGGCCGCCCCGGGTGGGGTTTTTAAGGGGCAGGGGAGGAGGCAGCTCCTCGCTGTGCGCCCGGCGCGGTGCGGGACGCGAAGCCACCAGGATGCTCTCGTAGGTCTGGTTGGTGATGTCCATCCCTGCGCAGCTCCAGCGTGGTGGGGGGGGGCAGGTGGGCGGGGGGCTGGCAGCCAGCAGTGAGGGGCCCTTGAATGAACGCTGCAGGGGGCTCACCTATGGCCAGACCCAGAGATGCTGGTGGGCTTCTTGCATCACTACACCCCAATTCTGCACCTCTATAGCCCCCCCCAAATCCACCTGCACCACTGCACCTCAATTCTGCACTCCTACAGCCCCAAAAATCCACCTGCACCACTGCACCCCAATTCTTCCCCCATACAGCCCCCAGCCAACCCACCTGCCCTATTTCACCCCCCATTCTGTACCCCTACACCCTCCTGCTCCATCTGTACCATTGCACCCCTACAGCCTCCCCCATCCTACCTGTACTGTTTCATCCCAATTCTCTACCCCCACACCCTCCTGCTCCTCCCTACCCCACCCACACCCCTTCCTGCCCCCCATTCCATCCCACTGCTGTGCCCACAGGGTCTCCCCTCCCTGCCCCCCATCACTGCCACCTTCTCCTCCAGCTCATCCTCGCTGTCATAGGTGTATTCCTGGGGTGGCTCCCAGTCGTAATCCACGTGGACCTGCAGGGAGAGCTTCCCCGCCTGCGCCTGCTCCAGCTGCACCACAGCAGGGTCTCAGCACAGGGTGGGAGGTGTGGGGGGGTCCAGGGCGCCCCCTCCCCGTGCACCAGCCCATCCCCGTGCCCCCCCTACCAGCTCCTCGCACTCGCTGTGCTTCAGCCTCCGTGCCACATCCAGCGCCGTCTCACCCGCTGCGTTCACTACGGAAAGGGGATGGGGGCTGCAGCTTGGAGAGCACCCTGCTGCCCCCGACCCCTCAACCCCCACATCCCAGCCCCATACCCATCCCAAAGGCGGCTTTGCCCTTCAGCAGCAGCTTGATGCAGTTGGGTTGGTTGTAGAGCGCTCCGTAATGCAGCGCCGTGTTCCCATCCTGCGTCACCCGGTCCAGCATCCCCCTGCACAGAGCCAGGAGCAGCTCAGCACCTCGTGGGGATGCTCCAGTGCCATCCAGGGTGGCAGTAGGACACGGTGGGACGCACCCGTTCTGGATGATGAAATCCACCAGCGGAAGGGACGATCGGTCCGCGCAGCGCACGGCCACGTGCAGCGCCAGCTCACCCGCGTCCTGCCGCGAGGAGGGAGGGGATGGCTGACCCCAAGGATGCTCACAGCCCGCAGGTTGGGCAGAACCCCAAACCCGAGGATGCTCGCAGCCCGCAGAACCCTCAGAGATGGGGTTTGGGGAACCGTTTGGGATGCACACAGCTCACCTGGCCCTCAGGGCTGGCCAAGGGCTTGGCCAGGTCGTGTCCTTCAGCAAAGGCCTGCAGCAGGGCCAGGAGATCACGGTTGTGGATGGCATCCCGGAGGCGGTGGGGCTCGCTGGCCCCCCCCCGCTGCACGAAGCGCCTCTCCATGTATTTGGCCACAATGAACTCCTTGCGTGCGCTCCTGCAGGGAGGTCAGCGTCAGCGTGGGAACCCCACACCTTCCTGCCTCCTCCCATGGCGTCACAGCGGGGAGAGACCTCTGCAAAAGGCGCAGGATCCAAAGAGCAGTGGGGACAGCGGGGTGACCCATCTTGTGAGCTTTCTCATAGGGATTTGGGGGGGAGGGGAGGGGGGCAAGGCAGGAAGCTTCCCATCCACCCACCCTGCGCTCCCCCAGACTCACATATCGCTGCCAGCTGAGGGCTTGGGGCAGTCCTGTGTGGGCAGCGTGGCCTCCATGATTTCATTAAAGCGTGTGTTCCCAACGCTGACAGCCAGCTGGGGTGATAGGGCAGAGGGAGTGAGCACAAAGCATGGAGGGACCTCCCCACAGCCCCACATCCCGCCCCCCTGCCATGCCCCTTCCTCATCCCAGAGAGGGGAGTTCACCAGATCCACGTAGGATCTTCCCATCCGCCACCCCCAGGGATGAGCCTCTCTCATAGGAGAGGTCTGTTAGAGGAGGGAAGGGGTGCTGGGGGGGTCTGCCAACATCCCCTCATCACTTCCCAGGGCTCCTGCATCCCTGCAGCACCACATGGGGGACCGTAAGTCACAGCTGGGCAAAATGAGGGCAGCTGCGAGCAGCAGGCGCAGAGCAGAGGGAGGGGGAAGGTCGAAATCTGCACCCAGACCCCAAGCAGAGGATGATACCCAGCGGATACGAGGCCCCCCCAGGTGCAGGGAGCCCCTTACCAGCAGCTCAGAGGTGCTGAGGACGTCCAGGGTGAGGGACTGGATACGGGAGTAGTGCACACCCAGCTCCCGGTGGATGCCGGAGCACTCAATGCACGTCAGGATGCCCAGGTTGGTGGAGAGCCACGTGGGATCTGTGGGGTGTGGGGGGGTCAGCATCACCTCCCGACCCCCCACCTCTCCCTGCATCCCAAAGCCCCAACCTACCCGGCGCCCCGCAGTCACAGCACTGCTTGTTGCCTGGCATGTTCTTCACCTCGCTGATGACCAGCTTGGTCAGCTCCTGCACGCTGCCATCTGCACCACTGCCTGCTGAGGCCGCCCCGCCGTTCGGTTCACCCTTGAAAGCATTGCTCAGGGCTTCATCTTTGCTGTTCTGCAGCACCGAGACCCACCTGAGCAGGGGGAGCAGAGCAGGGATGCAGGAGGGCACTGCTCGGAGCAAAGGCTGCAGCCCTGCAGTGCTTCTGCATGCTCGCAGTACTTACACCACGCACTCCTGCTCATCCTCTGCTTGGAAGTGATACGTCCTGTTGTCTGTAGGGACGGGGAAAGAGGGGAGCGAGGCATTTAGGAAAGGACAAAATCGCAAGAAGGGACTGCAAAGGGCTGCTTTAGAAAAACCACAGCACTTCCCTCTCCCATCACCGCCACCCAACCTCTCTTTGTCTCCAGTTCACAACCGTTCACGTGCCCTTGTGTCCCAGGACAGCCTGGCCAGGGTCTGCTGCAGGGACCCACAAGTGGACACACACACAGGGACTCACGTGTCACCAGGTCGAAGCACTTCTTCTCCTCGGCGTGGGGCCGCACCTGGCAGGTGAGCAGGTTCAGCTTTACAGGGGGACGGTTTATCTGCCAGGCACCAGGACAGAAGCGGGTTAAAGGATGAGGGACGTGATGTGTGTCACCACACAACCATCCCCATCTCTTGGGACAAGCAGAGGCTCGGTCCCTGTCCCTTTGTAGGACGGGCGATGGGAACGCGGCGATGGATGGGGCACGGAATCCTCTGTCCCTGCTGCAGTTCGCAGCCTCCACCGCCAGAGGGCAGCACGCTCCCAAAATCATCCCAGATCCTTTGGGCCCCTCTGGACCCTCAACGCCCCCCTCGTTGCTCCCATGGAGAAAACCATTCCCTCCCTCCAACCTGCACCGATGCGCAGCACAAGCTGGTGGCTGCTGGGACACACGGGGTGCAAACGGGACACTTGGACTGAATGGAGAAAAGCCTCCACGTGATGCGGAGTCACGTTCCCAAAGGGCAGCGAGCGCTGCGTGGCTTTTGGCATCCTCCAGCCCCACGCTGCTCCAGTCCCCTCCCATGTCCTCAACCCCCTGGCAGCGGAATGGTGACCTCTTTCTTCCAGCCCCCTCCCCTTTCCCCCCATGCACAATTTGGGGTTCCACACCGCAATGTGGGATCCTGAACCCCATGCAACAACTGGACCCCCACCCAACATCCTCCAGCCCCACGCTGCACAACTCCCACCAGTACTCAGCAGGAGATGGTGCAAACCAGGCTCTCTTGGGATGCACAGCGTACCACCATGCACCAGATTTCCCCCTATGGTTTACATGGGGTTGGATGCTCACTGTGCTGTGGGAGATGGTCAGACAGCCGTACTTCACACCGCATTTCCTCTTCTGCCACACTTTGCGGATCCTGAGGCAGAGGAGGAGGAGTGAGGACTCATCACGCAACACCAACCACATCCACCTGCCCCCACACCACCTGCAGCAGCACCCAGTAGAGGTTTGATGGCTTTCTGGACCTGGGGTTGCACCTTTTGTACCTTACAAAGCACACAGCTTCAGACCAGACAGAACCAACTGCTCCTGAGGGCCTGGTAACACTGAAACCCTCATCCAAATGAGTCCACTTTGGGGTCTCCCAGCTCTGGGGCCTCTCATGAGAGCAGCCAGGGTAAATAACACTCATCCTCACCCATCACTCTTCTTGTACAGGAATCCTGACTTCTCTGTCCCATACTGCTTGTTCCCTTGGTGCTGGTGGATGCTGTAGCCACTGCCAGAGTTCTTCCTGCTCAGGTTTTCCTGAGCTCATCAGGAAAAAAAAAAGAAAAAAAAGTAAAAAGACTCATTTAAAAAACACTGTGAGAGAGGTAGAGGTGGCCAAAGTCCTGGGGGATCTCATTCTGGAGGGCAAAGCTCCCCATCCCCTCCAAGCATCCCTCCTGCACTGCTCCCATAAACAGCCTCCTCCCAGCAATGTCCTCCCATAGTTGTCTTGCTCCCCATGCTCTCCACACATACTTCCTGATACTCAGGAGGACCATGGATGTCCTCCTCCAAGCATCCCTTCTGCTCTGTTCCCATGGACATCCTCCTCCCTAATGACATTCTCCTATGGACATCCTCCTCCCACTGATGTCTCCCTCCTGCTCTGCTCCTCCAAGGATGTCCCCCGGCTCTCATTTCCCTGTCCCCAAGATAAGGGCACTCACTGAGCACCCAGCCCCCCCTGGCCCCACCAGCTGGCTCTCACCTCCTTGCTCTCCAGCTGCAGGATGCTGCGCAGCGCATCGCGGGTCTGCGTCAGCTGCTTCACCTCCTCCTCTTGTGCTTGGTGGAGCTGGAACGGGAGGTGGCTGCTGTCACTGGGGGGGTGGTGGCAGCTCAGGGACACATCCCCTATGGATGGGAGGTGGGGGGGGGACTCACCGAGTGGAGGGACACAGCCAGCTTCTCGATGAAGGGGTAGAGGTTCTGGGCAGCCTTCCAGCCGTCTTGGAAGAAACTGGGCATTTATTTCAATGCAATTAAGATGCAAATGGGGAGAACGGAGAAAAAGAGGTTATTTAGTGAGGACGAGGCAGGGATGGCTGCAGCCTCCTGGGGAAGCTGCTCTTGTTTGCAGCTCCTCTACAAATGGGAGATGGAGAGATGCTGCTGAAGCCCAAATCCAGTCCGTGGAGGTGAGGTACCCCAAATGGCTGTGGTGTTTGGGACAGCACTGGCCTCAAGCTGATCTCTCTCTGCTACAGTTCAGATCCTGGGCCTGGCAGCCCAGCTGAGGGCACTGCCACTGCTCCTTTCTGCCTGGAGAAGTCGACACGGCCCCAGCACCCCCAGGGTACAGCAGGAGGAAAAAAAAAAGGGGACATTCCTGTGCCCCAAATGCTGCGAGCTCTGAGCTAACAGCGGAGCTGAACTCATCCCTGGAAACCCATCCAAAAACCAAATCATCGCATACATCCCCAGCCAAGCCCCTTCCCCCAGCCCTCACAGGCACATCTGCAGCTCCCCGAGCCAACAATCCCAACCAGACAGCAACCAACCCTGCCCAGAATCCTCCCCACAGCTCGGTGGGGTGGCTCAGTCCCCACAATGGGGACAGGACCGTCCCCAGAGCCCCAGGGAAGCTCCCAGGGATGAGCACCTACTTGTGCTGAGCATGGAAAAACTTGATGAGGCTCTGCAGGAAATCTGGCCCTTGCTTCATCTGGCTCTCGCTGGCTTTCAGCAGGTACTGGGGGGGCAGAAAGCAGCTGGTTGTAGGCAATGGGATGAGGACCAGCCCTCACCCTGCGGGCAGGAGGGTTAGATTGCTGGCTGGGCTTCAAGGAGCGGAGCTACGAGGTGGGTTTGCAGGCAGGGACCACCCCCAAAAAGCTGGCTTTGGAAAGCCTCCAAGCCCTGGGAAGTTGAAGGAGCGAGGCAGGCCCCAATGCTTGCAGCTGAGCACGCTGCTCTCACTGCTGATTGCTTCTGGAGTTAATAAATAACCCAAACACAACTTGGTTCGAGGAGGAAAAAAAAAGAAAAAAAGAAAAAAAAGTGATGTTTTGTGCATCACCTGCAGGCAGAAAGAGCCTGAGTCCATGGGGCACACGAGCCCCAAAAGCAGAGCTTTCCTGCTGTGAGCTGGGCTGCAACCCCACACAGCTGTGGGCTGGGCTCCCCCCGCTCCCTGTGCTGTGATTTCAGAGGTGAGTGGTGCAGAAGGCAGCCAGCATCAGCTGTGGGGGTTTCCATGGGGGAACAGCAGTGGGATGGAGCCCATGGGTCACCCCATGTCCCAGCTGCAGGGAGCAGGAGGGATGATGACAATTTCCCATAGCTGGAGAAGCACATGGGTGACAGTGACCTCGTGGGGACCTCCCCATGTCCCAGGTTGATGGGGACAGCAGGCCGAGACCCACACGAGGATGCTCCCAACTGCAGTGTGGGCAGATGCACCCCACCCCCAGCAAAACCCACATACAAGCACAGCAGCCACACGCCAGCCCCCAACAGAGCTGCACCCCACTTCCAGGCGACCAATGCAAGCAGCCCCTCCCCAGCCCGGGCCGCGTTTCCATGTGCTGTTATTTATTTCACAGTGGTGCTATTCAAAGCAGTGACTCATCAGGCCCAGCCCCAGCAGCAGCCCCGACCCTGGAGCGGGTGCAGCCTCCTCCCCTGCACCCTGCCCTGTGCTCCCTGATGGGAGGGGACAGTGCTGGGGAGAGCGGGTGGCACTGGGTCTCTGTACCATCGGTACCTGGGGACACTCGTGAGCCTCCCTGCTTGGGCAAACAGTGCAAACAGCAAAATTAAAGTGCTTCTTTTTGGGGGGGGTTAACAGTAAGGATTGCTTTTTGCCCCAGACGCCAGGCTGTGGCTTTGCATGGGAGCAGGACCCAGGGGAGGTGGGGGCAGTCACCAGGAGTCTGCGACTGCATGACTCCATGGTGACAATTGGACCCACATCCCCAAGGAAGGGACAGCAGGGTCCTCGAGCCAGGACCCTGCAAGGAAACATTATGGATGGGGACAGATGAGCATCCTGCACCGTGTCTACGTGGGACTGCTTCCATGGTGGGGATGGGAAACGACTCCAGCTTCCCTTCACCACTCTGAGCACAGCGCTCCCCAACCCCCCCGCGCAGCCCCCACCTCACACATGTGGAGCTGGAAGAGCCTCCGCTCCTTCTGTGTGTCCTCTGCCACCTCTGCTGCAGACGGTTCGGCCTGGATGACCCCCGCCAAGCGGGCACGTTCCTTCTCCTTCTCCATCTTCCCCCTGCAGGGTGACACGAAGCTGGGCTGGGGGCAGACCTGCACCAGAGGGGACCTTGGGGATGGCCCTGCACCAGGGGGATCCCTTTGGAGCTGCAGAAGAGTTGGGATGGGGCAGGGATGGACCAAAAGCATCCCCAGCCTCTCCAGCTGGGCAAGGCTGGAGCAGAACCCGTAAGGGACAAAACGCCTTTGTGCAGAGGGGGATTAGGTGGATTTTGCTGGAGGAAGTGGGTTGCTTACACTTTGGTCTCGTAATCCTTCCAGGCCTTTTCAATCTGCTTCTTGGAGTCCTGTGGCAAAAGGAGAGAGGGGACGGCAGCTCTTAGAGGTGACGAAGGGACAGGCAGTGACCTGGTGGCACCCAAGCAGTGCCCAGGCGTGGACACTTTGCTTTGCATCACTGTGTCTCCCAAAAGATCCTCAAAGGCTGTGCCTCCCCACACCAAGGAGCATGCAATGGGGACCCACCATGCGGCTGTCCTTCAGCTGCCCCTTCAGCAAGCTGTCCAGGGGGAAGGAGACGATGTTGTTCAGGTTCTGCACCTGGAAAGGGGAGAGATGGGCACAGGGTTACCCCAAAGTGTCCCCACACCAGAGCGCAGGGTCCTTTCTAGCTGGGACCCTCCCAGCTCAGCGGCTGCCCCAGGAAGGGTTAAGCAGGCTGGGAGCTGCTGGCGGAGCAGGCTGGGGCTTGCTGGAGCTGGCTGCAAGATGTCTGACGTGCAGCCCTTCCCACAAACCACATCAGCGCTGCGGCTGCCAGAACCAGAGCTGCTCCCCCCCCATCACCGCCCCGTCCCCCCGCATCCCGCAGTGCCGCAGGTCCCAGAGCCCTCCTGACGTCACACAGCTTCCCAAGGTGTCCCCTCCTTGGGCAGGGGGGCAGGGCTGTCTCAGTGCCCACCTCTGACTTCGAGCCCACGGGGCTGCATCGATCTGGGGGGGCTGTTAGAGCAGCTCGGGATGACCCAGCAGGGCTCAGCGCAATGCTGACGGCCTTTTGCACAGCGGTGGCATCAGATAGGAAGCTCCAACGCCACAAAACAATCCTGCTCGCCCTTATAAAGGGTTCCCGGTGGGGTTTTGCTCGCAAGAGAAGCCCAGCTCTGGGGGCAGGATCTGTCCCTGAAGGATGGGAAACGGGGTGCATCCTTCCAGGTGTGCAGGGATAGGGACCCCGCAGCCCCAGGAGGGGTTGGGGTTGTGGGCAGCTGTTCCCACGGCTGCAGCACGTGGGGTGTGATGCTGCACTGCCCTCAGCCAGGGAACCGGTTCAGCTCCTTCCCTGAATAGGGTTCCCCATGGAGCCCATGGATTGCGGGGCTCCGGCTGGGATGGATGAGATGGGATGGAGAAGGAGAGGAGCAGAGAGGCCCATGCTGGGGTAACTGGGAGAGGAGGATGCCGAAATCTGAAATTCCTGCTGGGGGAAGGGCAGCAACAACAAATCTGTTCCTTAAGCACAGCCAAAGGCTACAGACCCCATTTTAGGAGGGGGGAGTTCAGAAAAGGGGTTGGAGAGGAGAGCGGCAGGAATGCAGCACGGGGTGCCCCAAGCGTGCTGGGCCAGCTGCCTCCAATCCCACCCAGCACAAAAACAGGATCCCAGATCTTGAGCTCACAGTGCTGGGGAAAAGTGAAATAAGAAGTTGGTTTGGAGCAAAGAGACGCCAGGCAGAGCACAGCCCCCTCCAGCTGCCTCTGCTGCTCCCCACGGCCCCACTGCGCGGCTCGGCGTGGCTTTGATTTATTTCTTGGCAAGAGAGATCAGAGATGTGAAAAAAATAAAAACAGAAAGAAAAGGGGGGAAAAAAAAAACACCAAAAAAAACCCCCAGTTCCAACCGCATGGCAAAGCACAGCGTTGGTGCCTTGAGACAGAGAGGGAAAATGCAGCAAAGGGGGAATGGGGTGTCCTGTAAGTGCGACCCTGAGTGCAGGATGGGATGGGGAGGGCCGAGGTGGGATGCATGGGGTCACCTCAGCACGGTGGGATGGGGAGGGCCGAGGTGGGATGCATGGGGTCACCTCAGCATGGTGGGATGGGGAGGGCCGAGGTGGGATGCATGGGGTCACCTCAGCACGGTGGGATGGGGAGGGCCGAGGTGGGATGCATGGGGTCACCTCAGCACGGTGGGATGGGGAGGGCCAAGGTGGGATGCATGGGGTCACCTCAGCACGGTGGGATGGGGAGGGCCATGCAGGGCTGCATGGTTCCCCTCCTGTGCTCACCAGGTTCTTGAAGAGCGCGGTGACCTCACGGGTGAAGACGGCCAGGTTGAGGAAGCCAGTGGAGAGCTCGTGGTTGTTCTGCGAGAGGTGATTGTTGCCAAAGTTCTCCAGGGCTTCACTGTACTGCTCCTCGTTCTCCACGTGGGCTGTGCCAGGGTTGGGGGTAGGGGACACAGTGAGACCACGCTGCCAAGTGCCACCGGCACCAGCACCGCATCCCCATCCATCCCAGCAGAGCTGCGATTCGGAGCAGAGGATGGCAGCGATGCTCCCTTGAACCACTGTCCCAAGATTTCCTTTGCTAAAACCCTTTTCAGCCAAACAGGGCACCCCAGCCCAAGGCCAGGCTGCATGGGACAAGTCCCCACGTTCCCAGGGCCACCACCGGAGGATGGCATTGTCCCACAGCAGGGATGCCCAACATCCCTCAAAGCCCCACTTACTGAGCCCGGAGACGTGGATGGCTTTCACGTATTTCCTGATCCTCTGCAGTATGGCTTGGTCCCCATCCAGGCTCTGAGAAAGCAAAGTACCAAACCCCGTCAGTCTGGGGGGTGCTGCCAAGCGGGGTGGGCGCAACACAGGGACAGGAGGCACCCAGCAGGGCAGGATTGGTGCTAAGGATGCTGAAACCCCAATTTGTTTGGATCCAAGCTCCCAGCAGCTGTGAAAATGCCTCCAGAGCTCCCACAGGGGCTCACTCCAACCAAGGGGAAAATGAAGGTATCCCACCACGGAGCAGGGCTGCCTCAGGCTGCCCCTGCCACGCCAGCACACGCACCCATAGCATACGGCACAGCATAAGGAGCACACCAAGGCCCCCGGCTCTGTGCAGGGACCCGGGGCAGAGCCAAACCCCAGCCCCACATCCTGCTGATGGGACAGAAGCAACGCAGATCCCACAGCCAGGGATGCAGCTTTCTGCCATCCCCTCGTGCAAGGCTGCAGATGCATCCCCCCCCCCCCCCCCCCCTCGCCTCCCCCAGCCCCATACCTTGCTGCAAACAAAACCCAACACCAACCCTGGCCCCATAACGCTGCTTAGAGGCGGGCAGAGCCCTGCAAGCAGCTCCAGCCAGCAGGAAAGGGTTAAGGGTGGCTTGGCTGCGCTGCAGGTAGCAGAGGCATGATAACAGGCTGGAAATATTTGGAGGGCGTGAACAGCGCGAAGGGCGAGGGATGAAACCGCGGAGGAATTGCAATAAAGAGCTCTCTCTCCCTTTCTTGCTCTCCGTGAAGGTTTTGGGGCTGATGTCAAGGTCCGTTTCCTGACAGCGGGGTCAGCCTGGCTCCACTCCTGGGAGGTGCAGAGGTCCCTCCTCGAGGGGAAAGCTGCCAGGATGGGGAGGGGGTTGCAGGGAGAGGCAGAAGGCAGAAGCCCCCCCAGAGCTCTCATTGGGATGCCATGGGGGGCATGCTGGCAGCGCCGTGCTGCCTCTGTGCTCCTCATTATTGTACCATGGAGCAGTGCAGAGCAGCCCCTGGTTTGGGGGGGTGACACCATCAGTGATGCCTGCGAGTCCCCAGGCACAGCTCTGCCCTCAACCACACAGCATCCCAGCACGGCCTCAGGGAGGAGAAACTGAGGCAGCACCGGAGGCTGGGGGTGCACACAGGCACTGCGTATCTGGGGGACGCAACCTCTCCAGTGCTTTGGGATGGGGGCAACCCCCCTCCATGGGGCGGCACAGAGCAAGAACCAGGGACAGTGTGGGGAAGGGAATGGAGCCACATTGGTGACAAGGGATTCCCTATGGGGATGGAGGGAGGGATGGACCCGCACCTGCAGCACAGCCACCCTCACCCAGCACACACTGCTCAATAGGGTCATTCTTTGGTTCCCCCCCCTCCTCCGTGCCGCCCGGAGAAGGAGCAGTGCTGGGGGCTGGGTGCATCCCCCCAAAGCTGTGAGGGGCAGAGTGGGGCAGGATGCAGCCCTGACACTGTGATGGGCACCGCAGGATGCAGCCACCAGCTCTATGGTCACAGCCACCCTACAGAGACCCGGCCTCCAGATCCCCATGCCTTGCATCCACTCTTCCCTCTAAGTCCAAGCCCCCATGGGATGCAGCTTCTGCCCCCATTACCCCAAAACCACACATGAGACCCTCAGGAGGGGACTGGGCAGCCCACTGTAAGCCCATGAGGGAAACTGAGGCACGGCACAGCTCCAGACAACCAAGCAGAAGGGGGGGGACCTCAGCAGCCCCACAGACCTCTTGCTCTCAGCTCATTGGGGTGCTGGTGAGACAGCCTGGGCTCAGACCTGGCAGCACCATAGTGGGCATCCTCACTCCCTCCTGCATCCCAAAGCACCAGCAATAACATGGGGTGCTGATGAGGTGGATCAGAGCTCAGCTGGATGCATCCTTCCCTGCAGCCTCTCTCCCCAAAGACTCCAGAACCACTGTCACCAGTGCCAGCACTCAGTCCCCCCAACAAGCCCCCATCTCCCTTCCCCCAAATCACAGCCTCCCCGGGGAAGCTGAGCAGCCAAGTGAAATTCCTGCTGCTTCCTCCTGCCCGAAGCTGCCTCCCCTTTGCCAGCCAAGAGCAGAATTTGGGATGCCCCACACCATCCCACCATCCAGCCCTGGGTTCCCAGCCTGGGGGCTGCAAGGGGAGGAGGGGGCTGTAAGCCCTGGCTGCCCTTCAAAGCCATTCCTTTGCTAAGAGAAGTTGGCAGTGAATGTGGGACCAGCTGGGAACGGCCTCTGCTGGAGGCAGGAGCAAGGAGAGGGGGATGAATGCACCCTGCCTGAGCTCCACCAATACTGATGGGGCTTTTTGGGGGGGGGGAGAGAAAAAATCCTCCCCTGGCTTTGAGAGCAGTGAGGCCCTGCAACCCATCGGGGTATAGAAGCTCTCAGCCGTGAGCCGTGATGCTGGGGGCAAAGCCAACCCCCGAGCAGCGCCCAGAGCTGGAGGACCAGTCGGGCTGTAAAACGGGGAGGTTTGGCCCCAAACCGCAGCCCTTGGCCTCAAGATATCACCCAGTGGGCTGGAGGATGCCAACAGCTCAGGGTCCCAAAGCAGCTCTGTGGGGGGATGGGGGTCCCCGAGCGCTCAGAGCAATACAAACAGAAGCCCCCCATCCCCAAATCCCTTCAGCTCTGCTTTCCCACAGCTGCATCCAGCAGCGCTCGGGATAAAGAATCAAGGAGTGCGCTCAGAGGGGAGCGCGGCCCAAACCCCCCCGCCCCCCCAAACCAACCCAACCCCACTCACCTCCTCCAGAGCCCCCACGGCACCCCGGCATTTCTGCAACTTGGATGCGAAGGCGGCGGCTGCGGGGGAGCTCAGATCCTCGCCGGTCACGGCCAAAAACTCGGCCACGCTGAGCTGCTCGGGCATGGTGCGATGATGGGGGGGGGGGGGAGGTGTTGGCTGCGGGGCTGAGACCGGAGCGCACCGGGAGAGCAGCCGGGGCTGAGCCGGGAAAGCGCCCGGAGCCTACGGGAGCGCCCCGGTGCCGGTGGGGACGGGTGGGGACCGGAGGGTCCCGGACCCCGGCTCAGCACCCCACGCCCCGCACACCGGTCGCGTTACACCGGGGAGGTTCTCCCTCTGCCCGCCCGCTCGCTCGTTCCTTCCCTGCCGCCATCGTGGGGGCGGTGCCGCCCGTCCCGTCCCCCCCCCTCCCCGCGTCGGTTAAAGGCGAAGCGCTCCGCTGTTCGCCCCCCTCCCCACCCCCTTCCCTTTCCCCTCCGTCCCGGCTCCGATGTAACTCAGAGTATCGGGGGTTCCACAAGCTGCACCGCACACGGCGGGGGTCCGAAGTGTGGAAACTTCATCCTGGAAGCGAAAGGGGGAAGGTGGAGGGGATGGGGGGGGGGAAGGGGAGGTACGGCACCCTCTCCACTCGTGGACAACGTGGGTTCGGGACGGTGGGGGCTGCAGCGGTCACTGCCCACCTGGAGGGCAAAATTTCCCCTGTAGATCAGCCTCAGCGCAGGAGGGTTTGGGGTTAAATCCATGTTAAATCGCAGCCCCGCTCCCCAAGCACAGCGCTGTCCCCATCTTGCCGTCCCCTGCTCGGACCTGGAGCAGGGGGCACGTTGTGCAACCACCCTCCCTCCCCCCCGAGGGCTGAACCCTGCCCCGTGTTTACAGTGCTGCCCCTGTGGCTTCGCTCCAAAAAAAAATCCCCGCAGGGAAGCGAGAGCTGAGGAAGAGTGGGAATTGCTACTGGGGGGGGGGCAAGAGAAAGGAGAATCTGCTGGGAAATAAAGCAAATGAGGGAGAAGGCACGGGGGGACACTCTAGGGGACATTCCCCAAGTCCTCCACTGCTCTGTTTCTGGGTTTCACTTCTCCAGGCAAGAGGGCAAAAGCCCCCAATCTCTTTGGTTTTCCAGGAACGGGGGGGGGACGACGACTCACAAGCAGGAGGCTGCTCTGTAGAAGCCCCTTCCCCTTAGGGCAGGTTGAGGGGGGGTCAAACCTCCGTCTGCTTCTTTCCCATCTCTCCAAATTACCCTGGGCCCCATTCAGCGCCCCAAACCCATGCAGCTCCTAAACCCGCCTACAACCCCCCTTCACCCCCCCGGTCCTTTTATTTCTTGCACCTGCAGCGTCCTGCAAACATCCGGTCCTGCAAACAAACATTCAGACCGGTTCTGCTGCAGATTTTGACGCTGGCAAAATCCCAGCAGCCCACACTGCTCACTGGGTAACGTTTCCCTCGGTAGGGGTCTGGCAGGCACAGGGTGAAGAGGTTTTGGGTCCTGCGCTTTGGAAGAAATGTCGGGGCTGCTGGTCGGGTCCTGGCTGGGAATCCCCCACCAAACATCGGGCATCTTCAGGGCGCGGAGGGAGGCTGGACCCCGAGCACAGCATCCCTATCCTGGGGTGGCCCCGCCACCTCCCGGCCGCTACGGGGACTGCCCAGCATCGGCAGCTGCGGGGATACGGGGACGGGGCTGTGGGCACAACGCTCGGTGCCGCTCACCCAGCTCACCTCCTCTTCTTCCTCTTCGTCCTCTGGATGAGCAATGCAATCCCAGTGCGGCTCCAGATACCAGCAGGCACCACTGGATATCAACCACTGGACATCACTGCATGTCACCAGGCACTGAGTATCGCTGCACATCCTGGTTACACCAGACATCACTGGGTACCACTTAACATCATTGGGTATCACTGGGTATCATCAGGCACTGAGCATCACTGGGTACCACTCCACATCTTTGGGTGTCATCAGACGTTGAATATCACTGGACACCACAGGGTGCCACCAGACATCACTGGACATCCCTGGGTATCATCAGACATTGAGAATCACTGGACATCACTGGGTACCACTCCACATCATAGGGTACCACAGGGTACTAGCAGACACAGAGTATTTCTGGACATCACTGGGTACCACTGGACATAACGGGTTACCACCAGACATCAACAGACATCACTGGGTCCCACCCAGCATCACTGGGTACCAGCAGACCTCGAACATCCAGAACACACCATGAACAACATGGTACTTTGCTGACAACTCATGAGTTTTATTTCATCTCCTTTCATCCCCTCCCAGGCAGAGAACACCACATGCCACACATTTCTCACCCACACCGCATCCCAACCAAACTGCAGCAGAGCAAACCCAAAAAGGACAACTTAAATACACTCAGAAACTGAATCCCGAACCCCCAACAGCACTGTGTCAGAGGTGGGTCCTGTATAAATACAGTGCAATAATTAACACACGTTTTTCCATGGGGAGGACATCCCTGGGTTGTATTCCTTTGTGCTGGTAGGGCCACGCTGACCCCACATCACCAGGATGGGGAGAATCCACACAGCCACACGCAGCCCGATGCCATCCAGGGGAAAACCTCTGCACAGCCCCAGCAATGCTAAAGCCTCTGCAGTGAGGGGAAAGTGATGCAGCTGTTGTGCCCCACGCTGCTCCTGATCCCCCCACAGGTACCAACTGCCACCTCTCTGCCCCATTAAGCCCCAGTCTCCATCCCCCCCAAGCACCATCACGGCACATGGATTTGCCCACGGCTCTGTTTTAAGAGGCTGCAGGCGAAGTGCCCCCACCCCCAAGTTGAGCATCCCCCTCTGGAAGGAAATCTGCCTCCACCTCAGCTCATTATTCCTTATTGACATTTCAGTGACAGCAGAGGGAGCATCTCTGTGCTCAGTGCCTCTCGACCGTCAGCTCCAACCCACACAGTTGGAGGTGCCCCACAGGGTTCCAAATGAGCATCCGCCACCCCAAAGCACCACTCTAACTGAGGAGCAACTGGAGTGCCCCCAAAACGTGACCCCCTCCCCACTCCCCAGCACAGCTCCTTCTGGCAGGGGCCCCATTACTGCTAGGTGGGTGCCCCCAACCCCGTACCCAAAGGCCTTTGGTACCCAAGCACCCAAAGGTCTGCCAGCAGCCCATGGAGCAGTTGGGGTGGAGACCCCCAGTTCCCCCCAGCAAAGCCACCCGGGGTACTGTGCCCCTTCCCCAGCTGTGGGGACAGGGATGGAGCAGTTGGGAACGGAGGAGGCTCAGTCCTTCAGCAGCTCACTCAGGTCATAGGCCTCAAAGAGGTCGCTGACTCCCTCGCCACCCTCCAGCCCCCAGAGGTATTCATCCTGCTCCAGGGGGGGTGAGAAGGGGATGAAGGGCATCGAGTCCAGGTAGGAAGGGGCGCAGGGCAGCTGGTCCTCTGTCTGCTGCAAGAGATGATGGGGGGAGTCCAGCAGCCCTGCGCCCACCTCCAGCAGTGAGTGGGGCTCTGCAGGGCTGGAGAGGGGAGGGGACGGGGATAAGGATGGGGCACGGTGGCCTTCGGGTGGCTGTGGGGATATGGGGGGCTCTGGGCTGTTCTGAAGGGAGGGCTGGGTGCTGCTGTCCCGCAGCACAGGGCTGGAGGGGACGTCGTGGTCCTTGGTAGGGCTGTCCTCCAGGATCTCCTCTGGGCACAGGTAGACCTCGATGGGACCATTGGTGCTCTTCAGGTGCAGCTGCAGGTTGTCCTGGGCGGGCAGAGCGAAGGCTCAACGGGTGCCCCAAGCCCACCCCACATCCCTAAACTATCACAGAACGTCCCCACTTGGAAAGGACTCACACAGATCACCAAGTCCATCCCCTGGCCCCACGCAGCACCACCCAACCCCAAAACCCACGGAGAAACCCCAGCACTGCTCAGGGCGACACAGCAGCACCCATGGGACCCGGGGTTGGGACAGTATGGCAGCATCCCAGCACCAACCCCATTTCCTGACCCCATGCACACCTCGCTGAGGTCAGGCACTTCCAGCTGCGTCTCCGGGGGGGCTTTCACAGCAATCACTGTCTGCTCCTGGAAGCTGCTGATGGCACGGAGGTCCTGGTAGGTGACGTACGCCAGCGTGGGACGAGGCATAGGAAAAAGCAAGGCCACGAGGAGGACAGCTCAGTTGGATGGGGCCCTGGGCAGCCTGGGCTGGTATGAAATGGGGAGCTTGGTGGCCCTGCGTGTGGCAGGGGGGGTGGGAGATTCGTGATCCTTGAGGTCCCTTCCAACCCTGGCCATTCCCCCACCCAAACATCGGCCTCAGTGACACACAGACACCCGCCCAGGGGAGCCAAAGGGATGGAGAGGAACTCGGAGGGGGTACCCAAGCCCTCCAGCCCCATCTCCCTCAGCAAAAGGATATCTCTGGTTGGCTCCATCATCCGTCAGCTGCCGCAGCCGCAGGCTGCACTCCTGCAGGACCTGGTCCAGAGCCTTTTCTGCTCTGCCCAGCTCAGCCACCTCCCCACGCAGCACCTGCTGCCTGGCTGCCACCGCCGCATCCTCGAAGATCCCCGTCCCCCTGCAAGCAGAGACGGTCCCCTGAGCACCTCACACCCCCTCCATCACCCCGTCATCCCTTCCCCCCGCTCCCCAGTGCTGCCTACATCCACTGGATGTGGTTCTTGGACTTCTTGCGGATGAGCTGGATGCCCTCCAGGACGTTGGTGATGTCGTAGATGCGGCGTTTCTGCACCTCCAGGAGCTCAGCGGCGCGGTTGAGGTCCAGCACTCCGTCGGGTGACTCGCTGAGCAGGAGGGTGAACTTCTTGGTGAGCAGCCCCAGCGAGGTGTCATAGCGTGTCTTCTCACCCGGGGACTTGGGGGCTGCAAGGAGAGGACCCCCCCCCCCACCAAAATGCTTCCTTAGCATAGGATGCTGGGACCATTAAACCCAGCGTAAGCCCTTGGCTGGTGGAGAAATACCCCCCCCACACACCCTGCCTGCCCCAGGAGCTCTGCGCCCATGCAGTGAACTGAAACTGCACACAGAGCTGCACAGAGCGCTGCTCCTGGGGGTCACCTCAGGCAGAGCTGGAGGGGGGACACAGTGCGGCACCGGGAAATGGGCATCGCCCCTCTACCCCACACCCCTCCCATTGCCCTCCAAAGCCCCAAACTTACTCCTGGGGCTGGGCACCTGTACCAGAGTCCTGCCCTTCCCCTTCGGTGTGTGCAGCTCAGGGCCCTCCAGGTCCAGTTTGCGCTTAGCCTGGAGAAAGAGAGAATATCCCGTGTGGGGACAGCCCCAGCCATCCCCCCCACCCCCAAAAGGGGCACTGCGTGGTGCCAGACCACAGGCTGAGAGATGCTCTCTTGCCTGCAAAACCACTTTT